AGAATAATTAAACTGTCGCAATATCACTGTGTATAAACCGTCTCCCGCCAATGTTTTGAATGTGCGCGTCAAACTAACCGGAAACATCCAAGGACCAAAGTCGTCACTTCCTTACGTGAACGAATAGCCGTTGAAATGGTCTATATATACTGCAATTTTTATCTCATTAAAGATGGTCTTGTCTTGTACCTTTTCATTTTTGTCCAATTTTCAAATACTTTTTTTCCCCCCTTCAAATGTTTTATGTTGTGATTAACCTTACAGCTGGTTGGTTTGGTTCATGGCTTAAATCCTTACGGGAAAAATACTTCCGGGACAAAGGCAGCTGAAAAATTGGGCAGCACCGTTGCACTCTGTAAGTCCCTATATCAACCTTTTAGTTCATTATGCAGACCTTTTCTCTTTGCATGTGTGTTACTCATTTTTCAAATGGAATTTAGACCCTAACTAACCTCATGACAGAATGACTCGTAATAAATCAATCAAACCTCTGGCTGTATACATGGATGTAGGGGAGGAAATCCATACGGATTGCCTGCCTCCGCCGGCATTATGGAGCAAGCCTGAGAGGGAGAGATGTCATCCAAGGTGCTTCATAGCTCTGGGGCTAACAGTGATGAATGGAGCTCTTAATGTCAGCAAACACTTTATCTCTGCTTCATCTGTTTTCATTAGGCAGGACCAACCTTTGGCTTGGACGGAGCGTTCTAGCGCTCACAGGATGGCTGAAGGCAAAACTAAGGTGGAGAGCGCTTCACTCTTTTTAGGCACAGGCAACCTCTCTTTTGGATGCCAAGGGTTAGAGTCATGATCCTGTTGTAATCAGGAATTCAGGACGGTTTTGGGACCTAAGACAAAATCTAAGAGGTATCTGGGGATACGTACACTGATCAGCCACAACATTAAAACCACCAACAGATGAAGTGAACAACATTGATTATATTGTTACAATGGCACCTTGTCAAGGGCTGGGATAAATTAGGCAGCAAGTGAACAGTCAGTTCTTGAATTTCATGTGTTGGAAGAAGGAAAAATGAGTGTGACTCATTTGTGACTTTGACAAGGGCCAAATAGTGATGCATATATGACTGGGTTAGAGCATCTCCAAAACAGTAAGTCTTGTAGGGTGTTTCCGTTATGCATTGGTTAAAACCTACCAACAATGGTTCAAGGAATTACGAGTGAACTGGTGTCAGGGTCATGGGCCCAAGGCTCATTGATGCACATGAGGAGTGAAGGCTAGCCATCTGGTTCGATCACACAGAGCTACCGTAGCTCAAATTGCTTTAAAGCATAATGCTGGCCATGATAGAAAGGTGTCAGAACACAGTGCGTTGCAGTTTGCTGTGTATGGGGTTGCATAGCCGCAGAATGCCAATAATGACCCATGTCCACCGCCAGAAGTGACTACAATGGGCATGTGAGCATCAGAATTGGACCATGGAGCAATTCAAGAAGGTTGCCTGGTCTGATGAATCATTTCTTTTAGATCAGGTGGATAGCTGGGTTTGTGGGCATTGTTACCTGGGGAAGAGATGGCAACAGGATGCACTATACAGGGTTTCTGCAGGTTTTATGAAGGTAAATTTAAGACTTTTTAAAAGACCAAGTAAAGAAAAAAGTATTCAGTATTTTTGTCAACATGCATTTACTGGAGACTCAAAATGACATAGGAAGATAAGAAAAGACAAGATTTATTTTTTTGAGAAATGTATCAAATATCATGAACTCGGGAAGCATCACCATGAATCAATCAAGAAATAACATGCTTAAAACAAGAACACATATCTGCCAGTGGGTCAGAAAAATAATCTTGTTTTCTTTTTGAATTAAGCTTGTTTTTCTGACTCCATTGGCAGATATTTCTTCTTGTTATAATCATAAACTCACTTCATTTTGTTCAGTTTCATAAGACTTCATATCTTCATTTTGCATCTCAAGTAAATTTATCTTGATTTAAGAATGTTTAGATATTTGTATTAGAAAACAACACAAAAATACTGAATATATATATATTTTGTTTTGCATTGCATGCAACATTTAATGCCATGACTTTTAAGTCGTTCTGCTCTGATTAAAGACATTTTTAAGAACTTAATTTGTGGAAGGGTCAATTAAGACATTTTAAGACCTTTTTAAAAAAAACTGGGAAGGAGGTAGAAGGCCAGTGGAGCAGTGTTATGCTCTGCTGGGAAACCTTGGGTCCTGGCATTCAAGTGAATGTTACTTTGACATGTACCACCTACCTAAAGATTGTTTTTTTTTATTTTTGTTTTTTTTACGTACAACCCTTTATGGCAGTGGTGTTCCCTGATGGCAGTGGCCTCTTTCAGCAGGGTGATGCACCCTGCCACGCTGCAAAAATTGTTCAGGAATGGTTTGAGGAACATGACAAAGAGTTCAATGTGTTGCCTTGGCCTCCAAATTCCCCAGATCTCAATCCGATTGAGCATCTATGGGATGGGAACCAACAGATTCAGTTGGCTCCACCTCACAACCTGCAGGACTTAAAGGATCTGCTGCTAACATCTTGGTGCCAGATATCACAGGACACATTAGATACATCAGAGCTGTTTGGGGAGCACATGGGGGACATACACGATATTAGGCAGGTAGTTTTAATGTTGTGGCTAATCAGTGTAAATGGGATATATATACACCAAAGACTTTATTAAGTTTATTTTTTTAATTATTTGAAACATTTTTTTCCCCTTATGTGGTAGAAATGGGCTTCCATACAAATCCCAGCTTACCTGGTAGAGACACCTTGGACTGATGTCACTTCCTGTGTTGTTATATATTTTGTGCCATTTTAGCTACTTTTATTTTGTACCTGAATAAAACAAATGCAGGTTATGAAAGCTGAGGACATCAAAGTAAAACAGGCACTGATAAAACAGACAACAAGACCTTTAAGGTAATATGTGATGTAAGCTTTACTTTCAAATCCTGTTACATTTACAACTGGCAATTTGAACATAAAGAATGCAAAACCAAGAAAACCAAAATACAAAACAAAATAAAAAGTACAAATGATCTAATTACCAGTTATTGTCACAATCAACCCTGTACAGCCTTAACAATGAAGTAATAAAAAAGCTTTATACAGCACATAACAAGTTTACTGGGTGCCAAATAAGAAAGAAACAAAATGATACTTGAGCCTTATTGAGTTGTAGAGTACAGCAAGCGATAAAGCAAACAGATTGTGCAGAATAACCCGCAAAGCTAAATGCAAAACGAGTTGGTCTTTTTTTTTTTTTTCGGACCAAAAAAAAGTAAGTGCTACAAACTAGAGATCAAGAGCAATTTCATGCATCTTTTGAAGTGCTAAAAAGGTAGTCAGTCTTGTTTGATGCGCAATGGCGCTAAAACAAAAAATGCTGCTCCTTGCAATTAGGCAAACAGAACGCCAAGTATTAAGCATTTATAAATACTGGTATTGGAACTGGGAGCGATCCCTGTTGCACTCCTCTTGCCCACACAACTGAGCATCAAAGAGCAGCAGCCATGTTCTTCTACATGATGAATACATGGTGTTCCAAGGCAGACGGACAAAAGGATGTTGCCCAATGGACATTCCATTTTAATTCATTCTATCAAAATGGGTCCTGAGGATCAGTTTCACTTCATCTCAGGCTCTCGGGCCATTCCTTGCCACCAAGTGGCACTAGAGCATAAAAGATAATTGGTTGAGCAGGAGCTTTATTAACAAGCAAAGAAGCTCCACTTAAAATACAACATACCACTAGACTGCATGCTGGGCATCTACATGAAGAAAAATAAATGATACCATGAGAGCAAAGAATACAAGTATAAAATAAGGATGCTATGCGGGGCCAAGAAACTGTCTACCATCTTTTAATGGCTCTATTTCTAGGCTGCATTTCATTTATAAACTGGCCTTAAATACAGAATTAGTTTCATCTGAATCCTCTCAATGGGCAAGTTAGAGAGAGGAGAACAAACTTAAGAAGAATTATCTCTTTGCAGTTCAAGGTTGACCTATCAAAGTAATGCTGCTACTTGTTTCCTTTTAAAATGTCTAAGGTCAGCTGCATTCGAAAATTTTTGTCAACTGATCTTAACAGGCCACGTTTTTATCCTTGTCCCTTATCTGCTATTCTCGCATGAATGAAGGCGGGAGAGCATTCTACATCTATGATGGATAACATTGAAATTATTGATCAGATCCTGTTGGCTGGACAAAAATGGACTGCAGTTTTGTTCAAATGCATCTATCGTCAAATAATTTTAGGACCTCAAGTTTGAGCTTTGCATGTGTTTTTCATGACATTCTACTGAGAATCGGTTTATTTAGACCAATATATTAGCCAAGCTAATTAATCAACCTGTACTTGGTCATATTGAGTTTATGGGCATCAGCCGATTGGTGTTTGGTTACTAAACCAAACACATGCTAAATTACTCCTTTAGCACCAATTAAAGTTTCCTACATTCTAAATTCATAAAATAAATCCATCTATCCAGTAACTAAGCAATGTGCTCATCAAAAATCAATATGTTACCACCAATGTTACAGTTTATCTGTTTTGAACATGAATTCAACTGTATTTGGATCAAAAATTATTTATTCAGAGCTCGCCAACATAATGGGCAGTAAAGCCTATGGATGTCTTCCATTTTAGAGCATTGAATAGAATTGCGTTCTGATACTTTGTTTAGAAAAGTGCAATTTTTACAGCACTGTGCAAAACCGCTGTTAAAAATTTAGCCTGGCCCTTTGGTGTCCAGGGTGGATTTTGAACTCAGCTGTCTGTATTACACATGCCATACGATCCATCAAAACAAAGCAGTCTGCTGTTTGGCAAATACCTACAGGAAAAAAGCTTAGAATTTGTGTTGTCAACCACTGTAGCAGACAAAAAAAAACAATAAAGAAAAAATTACTTAAGTAGCATTGAGGCTGTTTGACGAGGCAGTCGAAATAATTGGCATCAAGAACGTTTTCTATTGGGTGTAAGTGCTTTTTTTAAAAAAAATATTTCAAAATTTTAAGTGCAATTAAAACTCAAAACACCGAGAGGGGAACATAGAATTATGGTACCATGTTTGCCCACATATGGAAAGCCATGCTTCCAAAGATCCTAGTCAAAATAATGGCTGCCTCCACATTGCACTTGAGAGCCATTTTCCAATGGGGTTCTCATAATAGCTTGTTAGTACAGGATATATTTATATATATATATATATATATATATTTGTATTTTACATTTCAAAGGCTCTTTCAAATTAAAAGTAATAATAATAATAAAAAACAACTAGAAGAACAAAAATTTAAGACACAGAAGGCCACCGAGATACCATTGTTTTTCCATGATCTCACTTACCACAATCCAGCTACCTCTGTATCATTTTAACATTAACCAACAGAAAGTACATTCATTCAAGTCATTTTGGAACAGGTTTTTTTTTACACACAAAATTACAAAAAAGCTCCAAAAAGCACCATTGAATCGGCCTTCGTGACAGAATAATTGGGTCTTTCCCAAAAACCTGTCACCTCATACATCTCGTTAAATGTACAGATGCGCATTATATACGTTAGCTATGCACAGGGCGCTTGACTGGTCACTTATATCTCATGCCTACCGGATACGGCCAGCCCACCTCGGTCAGCTATGGCACAATCTGTAGCGACCAAAAGTATGGTGAAGATATTGAAGGGCGGCATCATGGGTTGACGATCACTGCAGTAGTGGTAATGATTGCTTTTGCCATTAGCGTGCCCTGAATGGCTTGTATTAAGAAATGCCATCAGCTGCACCTCGCAGGTGTCGTAAAGGGCCTTATGCTTGTTGCTGAGGCAAGATTAAAATTTGCAAATAGACTCGCCATTCAGCAAAACCAGTCAATGCCAACAGGCATGGGGGAGAAGAGAAAAGAAAGACTACAAAACTATGTACAGCTTGATAAATTAACAAGTGTGTGGTCTGAGGCTTTGCTTTGGAAACAAGACTCAAAAGATAACAATTCGTTTAATTGTTTTTTGTCGTGCCATATACTGTATGCCCCAAGATATTTCATACTGAGCCCCTAAATGACTGCAACACATAGCGAACATGCTTTCGGATTCCTGACAAAATGCACAAAAAAAGCTTAGCGCTTGCAAGCTTATATGTTCTGTTTCCTTTCGCCCATCAAAATGAATACAAAACTTGTAATAGATAAAGCACTGTTATCGGATTCCGGGTCATTCACAATTCATAGAGGTAAACAACTGTTGTAAGACCTCTTAAAAAAAGAGCTATGATTGGATTGCGATAGAACAGAAATCGAACTTCTTTGAGCGTGAATAGCTTTTCCTCTGATAAATGGATGTTTTACTATCATTACTACTCTTTAGGGCAGTATTTTAGTCTGCCTGTGGAACAGTTAGTGGCTTCAGTGGCTGATGATACAGGGTGAAGGAGAAGAAGAAAGGTCAAATTGTCTTAGCTCTCTCTGTCAATCCCAGGTATGCCAGGAAGGAGTGTTTGAATGACGTGGGAGAGGGCGGCGACTGCGAGGACGAGTTGGACCAGAATGCCGAAAAGGGCAGAAAGGAGTTTGAGGGCGAGGGGCTGTGGAATGTGAAGCGGCGGGCCGTAAAGAGCGTGGTGAGGGGGATGAGGTGAGCCAGGTCACAGTTCCTGTACTGTTCCAAGTAGCGGGTCGCCAGTGTGGAGAATGTGCCGTTGGCCGAGAGGTAGCGCGTGGTAGGGGTGCCGTCTTGCCGCTTGCTGGTGATTGACAGGGCGACGGACTGCAAAGCTTGAGAGGCGGACAGGTTCATGAGCGGACTGGTGCTCCCGCTGTCACTGCTGCTCCCTCCTCGATCCAAAAGGCCCGGACGTGGCGTACCTGGCCGAGCCTCACCTTCCTCGGCGCTCCCCTCCCCGCCTTGGTGCTTTTTAATGTGGCGGCTGTAGACGAACGGGTGAGTGGTGGTGAATGGGCACTGGGCGCAAACGAAGGTCTGTCTCGGTGCGTGCTTGAGCCGCTTGTGGAGATTGAGATTGTCCTTGCGTTTGCAGCTGTAGCTGCAGCGGTCGCAGTGGAAAGGCCGCTCGCCGGTGTGCACGCGCATGTGCTCGATGAGCTTGTTGGCTGTTTTGGAGAGGTAGCCGCATTGCTCGCACTTGTAGTGGTTGCCCAGGCGGTGAGCGCGCGTGTGCCTTTCCAGCTCTGCCTGATTGGCCCACACGGCTTGGCAGATGCGGCAGCGATACTCCATCTTGTAGTGCATCTTCAGGTGGCCCTCCATGGCAGCTGGCCTGTTGGTGGAGTAGATGCATAGAGGGCACCTGGTCAAAGAGACATGAGGAGTAGGGTGTAGGACATAGAAGTGGAAGACATTTAATGATGCACCTCCTGAGCGAGAAAACACTCTGTTCTCTTAAATGAAATGAAGAACACACAGAATGGACAAAGGGAAGGGATGGAGGAGGCATTTAGTGTGTCTTACCCTCTGTCGTGTATATAAGCTACAGTCTTAGTGTGTAAACACTGCTACATGTGAGAGAGAGGGTGTGTGTGCATACGGCTGTGTGGTTGCGGACAGGTTGGAATGGGAATCAGATGAAGGTAAATGAATAAATGAGTGGCACTTACATTTAAATAGCACCTTTCATCTGCTCAGGGCCCCAAAGCGCTTCACAAACCCTGCAGAACAGAATGACCTCAGAAAGCACACTGTGAAGGGCGCCTCTCTACCTCAACACTGAACTAGAGCGCTGTGAAACTCTCTCGCCCTGACTAAAAAAAACAAAACAAAACAAAAAAAACCCAAAGAAAAATAAAAAACAAAAGCTCTAAATGTATTTGGTCACTTTTGGGTTTTGTGCTCTACGTTTTGAATCTGTATTGTGCAATGACTCTGAACCAAAAATCAGTTCATAATTTGGGAACATTTTGTTTCACCAAGATCAACTGCATGGTTCATTATTTTGAGTGAATAAATTATTAACAAACAGTATATCAGAATAGTAAAGATAAACAGTAAAGATACAATAAAACAGTAAAGATGCATATTTTTTAGAAAGTAAACTCCTAGCAGACACTGCACCCAGTCTTGTTTTACAGTAAAAAATATCTAAACATACCTAAAACAAAAGTTTAATTGAGAAGCAATATGGCACTAAATTGTAAGACTTGTTTTCAGTTTTTTTTATTTTAAATTTAAAAAGTTTATTTTTGGCACCCCACTGGCAAATTTTTTTAAATTTTTTTTCATGTTTTAAGCATAAATCTAAAACACTTTTCTGCAATGTTTATGCATGTAACCAGTAGGCAGTATACTACTACTTAAGTATACTGCCTACTATAAGTGTTTGTTTAAAAAAAAAGAAAAGAAGAAGAAGCTGCTGCTTGTGATCAAAAGCAAACCATTTCATCTGAGAAACATGAAAGTCATGTTGAGGACTGTCTTATAGGGGAAAAAAAAAATCTCTTTAATATCATAAGCTCTGTAATATTTTGGTATGTCTCAGAACCATTTGAAACTGCAGAAACTGCAACTGAATATTCCATTGAGTTATGAAAAAGCAACCTCTGAGGAGTAACTTTGTCCTATGGGATGTATTTACTGATGCTTTTCTTGGTTACATCTTATATGGGATTATGTAAATAGTATAGAATTAGTAGAGAATCCCCAGCGACTATATGTCAAAGATAAGGACACTTAAGTACAGGTATTTATATATAAAAAAATATACAGTCCAGTTCTAAACTATGACACCTTGTATGGAATATTCATAAGCAGACATTAATCCAGCCAACTGGAACCCTGCTGTGGGAGAAAGAACCCGTGAAAAAAAAAAAAAAAAAAACATGCAGTGATTTGTAAGCAGTCAGCTGTTATACATATACACTAACATTAAAGCTGACCACACACACTTACACCTCAGAGTCATTGAACCATTACAGATTCCAAATGTAAGAACACAGTCAAAACAGCAATTGTTTAAGATACTGACCAAGAAACACTCTGTGGAAATGCACATTATTGTTTGCTCAAATACTGGGAATACAAAATATTGAATGGAGGATTTTAATTGTTTTTCCAGTGTTTTTTATATTAGAGCTAACAAATAAAAAGAGAATATTAAACCATAGATTACATGCTGAGTCCCTTTCAAAAAAGATCCCATCTGATACATTTTTTTTTTTTAAAGGCACAAAATAGAAAGCCTGCCTTTATTCACAGTCATCTTAAAATCATAATATTTAAAGGCATATCATCTTTTTAAACTTTTAATGGCAAATTTAGAAAATTGTCAAATGACACTTCTTGTTCTGCTTTTTATCATAACTGCTAAACAAGACCCCAAGTAAAGTACTGCCTGTACTTCCAACTTAGTTAAATATCGCTACTGATCTAAGTTTATTTTTCCTCCTTTACCTGTGGTAATGGCTAAGCGCTCTAATGAGTGATAACTACAAACTATCAAATGTGTCTAGCATGGAAAAGCATAGCCATAAATGACAAGATGAGGCAATGAAATCTGAAATACATGACCTTAAGACATGAATTATGTATGTCAAACAACTAGACAAATACAACAGAAAATATCAAAGACTGGACTTTGTGTTAAGTTCCCCCCCCCAAAAAGAAGCCCCAAAACAAAACAAGATCTCAGCTTGGGGGTCAGTATGTCTTGTAAGTGTTTGGAAATAGAGTGTCTATTTGCCTTCAGATGAGTATTCATTGTGTTTAAATGTGTTGTTGTAACTGTGGTGGCGGCTATGACAGGCTGAGAAAGAACAGTGTGAACTGTAGCCTAATGGTCTTGGCAGTGGAGCTGCTCAACAGATGGACAAGTGCTGACTGGCTTGTTGTGATTTCTTCAGATATATTTTTACATGCGGGCCCAGACCTTTTGCAGTAATGTCTACCACAGGCTTTCCAAAGGAAGGGTCTCGTTCCTGAAAGTGCCTGTGATTTGTGTGCTCACCTGCATAGAATTAGTGTCCCAATAACAAAGTGGAATTACAAATGATACCTATGGGGAGCCCTGTACTTCCTCAAACACTGATGAGGAAAATAGGAAAAGGCTTTTATTATTCCTCTTGTAAATTAAAGTGTGATTCAGTAAATTGAAGGTTTAAACTTTTTAGCAATGCAATGTCCCAACTGTTTGCCCAAAAATGCAAATAATGGTTATTTACTTATCATGTTGTTCCAAACTCTATAACATTATTTTTTCCATGGAACATGAAATATCATGAAATTCCTATCTTTGTAATGACAATGAATAAGACTGTAAATTCTTAAAAAGCTTCAAAAGTATGAAGAAGAACAATAAAGTGGTCCAAATGACTCATGTGCTATATTCACCTGTAGTCTTCTAAAGCTAAGTAAGCGACAGACCCCATTTGTTATTCACACAAAATCATTCCCTTCAAAAAGCTGTTAACTTGAGAACTGCTACAACCAGATCATGAATCATTCTGATCAGCTTTGTGAAGCAGATGAACTGATTCTTTGACAATATTTAGACTTTCACTACTTCTCTTACGAACTCTCATAATAGGAAAGCTAGGGCATATATCAAGGTCTCCAATGAATAATCACTTAAATTATGGTCTGTTCCTCATAAAAAGATAACGTATGTCTTCAAAAGACTAGGAATATAGTGCACGCTATATGGACAACTTATGATACCTTCATGCCTTTTTTGCATTTTTTTTGAAGCGTCCAAAAAAAAAGTGTACATTTCTGAGTTTCTTTCTTCTGCTGAACACAAAAGAAGATATTTTGTAGAATGTTGGAAACCAATAATTTGACGGTAGCCATTGACTTCCATAGTATGGAAGTCAATGGCTACCATCAACTGTTTAGTTACTAACATTCTTCAAAACATATTAGTTTGTGCTCAACAGAAGAAAGAAACTCATACAGGTTGAGTGTGAGTAAATCATGACAGAATTTTCATTTTCAGGTGAACTATCCCTTTAATTGGTGAACTGTTCCTTTAAAAATATTAGCTGTAAGGTGCAGTTATAAGTAGTCAATTCAAATCTCTGACTCTAGAGTTGTGTGCTCACATTTGTTTCAGGCACATTCAGGAACTCTGTCTATAACATGCTTCCACTGTATGCAGCTCCACAGAGAGGTTACCCTGAAGCACTGCTCGATGAACTTAGCTCATTTCTGGAACACCCTCTGTTGTGAATCCTCGACCAGTGCTCCTGGATAGACTCTGTTTAAAGCCTGGGCTGTGTCCTGTCTGAGACATGATGGTATCAAAGACTCGGCTTAGCTTAAGCCATCAGAGAATTAGGTGGGAGCATCTTTCAGAGCTCAAGGTTTGATAATTAATTCTGTAATGAGTAAAGCAAAAGGCAGAAAAATCCTCCAGTTGATCGAAATCCACCCAGTGAGCCGGGCTGGAAAATGTATGCCTAGAGCAGTGCGGTATTAAGCCTTAAAAGTCGGGAGGCGGGCTCTCTTCCCTAAGAGGCACTCTTGCGGGTTTAGCCTGACTTCTGTATCCAAGCAGCCAGAACACTCAAGCCTGCGCTCTTATTGATCTACGCTGTGCCTGAGAGCGGCAGGGGAGGGGGGCTGCCTAGGTCAGGGCCGCCACAGCTAAGATGGCGGGAGCATCTCAGGCCACGGCTCTCCCCTAGGGCTCTCAGAGCTCACGAAATGGCCGATACCAGCTCTCACGCGCGCTTCGCTCACATGTTGAGACTGCCGTTCCTTTGAAAGAACGCATGTAGAATACAGAGTAGGTGGTCATGTTTAATCTTTTGTCAGCTTCAATGACATCTTTGAATACAGATGCGCTGTGTGACTCGTATGCGTTATGAAGAGCAGGACTTAATCTCTGTGAGTGAACTTGACGGCCTCTATAAGGCTACTGTACGCGGTGGACGTTGGTCGAAATATCAGGATGAATTAACGTCCAGGTTTAGCCGTACACCTGCAGTGTAAAGCAAAGCATTAGTGATGGAGAGAACAGCTGCTAGGCGGGCACCCAGGTGACAGCCGCAACTCTCAGCCACCTTCCTAAGCAGGAGACAAAGAAGTGCAGGCTGGTAGGCGCTGACCCGAGGTCAGCCAATCTGCAGCAAGGGGTGTCTCTGGAAGGACGCTAAATCGCAGTTGACAACCCAACTTGTTCTTTTGCTGGCACTCTCTGAGCTCACTGTCTTGCTGAAGTGGACTCGAGCTCCGTGGCGTGAGAGTGAGTGTGGGAGACATGGCGGTGTTGGGCTACTTGGATGGGTAGTTGTGAGCGACTAGGGATATCGATTTTTCTGCCTCCTTGGGTCTAATAACACCAGGCCTCGCAGTTAAATATAAACTCACACACCCACTCAAATGTGAACCCTCAGTCAGTTCCATGACCGACTAAAAATGAACCCCACGCACAACCTAAAGATTGAGGTGTTTGTCTATAATAACCCTGGCGAGTTTCTGTGTCAACAACATCCACCCAGCGATTCAGACCTTAACGGTGTAATTTCTGCATCACTAGCGCCACCAAATGGAACTTAAAAAAATAACTATGGTTTTCAAACAAGTTGACTTTGTCACCAGGTTTTACGACTTTTCCGACCCCTTTAGTGAAAACTGCCTAGCGACAAATCTAGCAAATCTAAATCTTTCTTGGACAAACCTTATTTAGTTTCTGAGACTCAATGGTATGATGTCATTTAACAACATTTAGCAAGCAGGCTTTAGCTGCTTTCCATTGAAATGTTGTTGGCAACAGTAAAACAGGTTTCCCAATCACTCCTACCACTAATTTCCTTAGCACCATGTTCAGTGTTCGGTCAAACAGGAAGTCCTGCCTCAACCCAACTTCTTGCAAGCTGACGAACAGATTTTGAGATTTTTTATGCTAAAAGGCCATAATCTTGTAAAACAGAGTAAATAGAAATACAATAAAATATCTCAAAATATAAAATGCTCCTGACACTCCAGGTCTAGAGTAAAATCTAGTTGTGCAACAAAAATCTAGTACCATTGGCGATAGCTGGGAAAATGTTTGCGGTTGTGCATTTTGCGTGGTGGCACTACTTAATTATATCTTTCTAATTACACAATCTGTACACTAATTGCATTAATCTGTACACAACAATGAATGAACAAATGAATAAACCCGTTCTTTTTAATGAGTCAGTCATAAAGGTTCACAAAACAGTCTGAAACCTGTGAGTGAGTTAACAGTTTGAAACAGACTCACTCAGTCAGTGAATCAATCAAAGCCATTTCACAAGCCGTGAATCAGTTAACAACTGATTCCTTCACTGAACCACAAGTAATTTTTGGTTGTCCAATTTTAAATTTGTCAACTACATTTAGTTTTTTGTTTAGTTTATAAATCCAAAATCTTTCATTTTAGGAATTCATGACTCTATCATGACTGTAGTCCTGCACTCAGAATTACAACTTTAGCAGAAGAACTTTGAGTTTCAAAAGAAAAATGCAAATATTATGATGGACTTGCGCCAAAGTTTCCCAAGTGTTTAAAACAACAACCAGAAGGTATGTTAAGCACCTTGCTAAAAAAACGTCTCAGTTCGTATGTAACCTTCGTTCCCTGAGGGAGGGAACGGAGACGACACGTCGGTAATGACCGACGAATTGGGATCTCAATTCATTACCGACGTGACGTCGAGAGTGACCGACTGAAAGGGAACCAAGCTACTTTGTACTGGTTAGATGCTAGTCTAGCTGGGGAACAAGCACTGGCACGATGTACCCGCAAAATTTAACCAGCATGGTCTTTCTGGAAAAGCTGGTTGACCAAGATAGTCATGCTAGTTCAACTAGTTAAGTGCACACACCAGCATCTAAAACTCAAGATCTCAACAGGTAATGCGTAAAATGTAAGAACGGTGAGATCTTACCTGCGTGCCCTGCACTGATGTGAGCTTTCATCTCAGCCTCGTCCACACCCACATACTCACAGGTGCTACAGCAGAGAGAGAACATCCACTGCTCTTTGTCTACATGAAGAGACATATGTCTGACAAACTGAGCATTAAACTCTGTCTGGAAGCCGCAGACGTGGCAGCTGTAGTAGTAGGGGCAGTTTTTGAGTTCTTGGCCTTCATTGGTAACAGCGGTAACAATCTGCTCAGCATCTGTGTTCACCAGTTTGACTGAGTGGATGGTGAGGTGCTGGTTGAGGTTGGCTCGGCACTTAGCCGCGTACGGACACAAATGACACTTATACTTCCTCTCTTCTGCAGAGACAAACAAGAGAGCAATTAGAAAGCAAACAAACAATAGACTCTTTTGTTGATAGATGATGTTTATAAGGTGTCCCGTCTCCTCCTGGCTATTCTGAGATCAGAGGATCTTGAGGTCTCACCGTTCCCACAGGACTTTATATTTATTTATTTGTTTTGTAGTCCAGACTGAGATGCATTTGAATGGACCATGATCAGACGGCTCATTGATGCTCCTAAGAGACCTGCGGGACATGACTGTTCAAGGATCAGGCAAGGCTGGTCATGGTTGTGCTGTGCTCCAGGGGAGCTTAGTGCTTGGGGAGACTTCTTTACAGTTTAGTAATCACTTAGGTACTTTCCCACCAGGACTAATCAGTAGCCTAATCTCTTTAAAGGAAGGGTAATCTAGTCCAGTGAACCTTATTTACTTACTTAAGGAATTACTTGTCCTAATGACAACATACAATGTTGTTGGACATGTATGTGTACATGTGAAAATATAACATTCAACAAAGCTTGTTTTTCAGTAACTTTGCTTAACTGTTGTGAACCAGCAGATGACCTTAACCTGGTCAACTGGTAAAAGCTGTTACCTAGGTAATTTAACATTGTAGTTGTGATTATGGATGTATTTGTAAATGTAATACTATAGTGGTCACTCGATCAGTTCTGCTGAAAACACCAGCTTACACCAACATAGAAGGTGGAGCAGAAAAATTTAGCTGGTATAGTTGGTTAACCGGCATAGCCAAACTGGTTGAATGTTGTTTGAGAGCATGTATTCTCACCTGTGTGTAGGGAGAGATGCCTGGAAAGAGTCTGTTGGCGACCAAATACTTTGCCACATATAGGGCAGGGAAAGAGCTGTTCGTTGAGTCTCCATTGGGCGAGTCCATTTCCTGGCTCACTACTCACCTTCTCTGGATCTGGATACATTAAAATAAATAATAATAAAGTGAAGTGTGGCGACTCATACTCGGAATTTGTGCTCTGCATTTAACCCATCCAAGTGCACACACACACCATGTGCTGCGGCGCCCGGGGAGCAGTTGGGGGTTCGGTGCCTTGCTCAAGGGTCTCACCTCAGTCGTGGTATTGAGGGTGGAAGAGAGCGCTGCTTATTCACTCCCCCCACCGACAATTCTTGCTGGACCTGAGACTCGAACACGCAACCTTCGGGTTACAAGTCCAACTCTCTAACCATTAGGCCACGACTGCCAAAGGTTATTAGTCAAAGGTCAGCATAAATTATTACCATTTATTGGCTAAAATGCATTATTAAGTTATTTAAATTATTATTGAAGGCTATAGCATTAATACTTTTATTTTTTATTAAATAATAAATACTGTTAGACATGGCGTTATGGCAGTTCTAATGCCTGATTATTAGATAAAATGTGGCCCAGGTTTCTTTTTTGGAAGATTCAGCACAACTTTATTGATTTACAGTTTGATTGCCAATTAAGGTTAGTAGTACACAACTTCCCTGCGACCCTACATAGGACAAGCAGTTTGGAGAATGGATGGATGGAGTTTGTGGCGTCCCTTATAAATGTAAATACAAAATGATTCGGAATTTGTGCTCTGCATTTAACCCATCCAAGTGCACACACACACCATGTGCTGCGGCGCCCGGGGAGCAGTTGGGGGTTCGGTGCCTTGCTCAAGGGTCTCACCTCAGTCGTGGTATTGAGGGTGGAAGAGAGCGCTGCTTATTCACTCCCCCCACCGACAATTCTTGCTGGACCTGAGACTCGAACACGCAACCTTCGGGTTACAAGTCCATCTCTCTAACCATTAGGCCACGACTGCCCCTAATAATAATTATCAGATATTATACAACAGTTAGTTCTGGTTCTCCAGTCCAACAGCACTGGGAAATTTCACTGTTCGTATCGCTATGCTTGTCTGTGTTCCCAGCATTTCAGACCAGACTATTGCTCTTGTGACACTTCTTAAGCGATTCATTTTGTCACATTCCAGTTTGCAGTCTTGGAATATTATAGCTAAAAATAGTTTTTGTGATTGGTCTAGACATCCTTGAGATTACACTATACAGTACATGCTACACAAGAACATTTGAAGAGTTTGGTTCCAAAATGCGATAAACGCCATTTAAAAAAAAAATAGAGTTTCCGCCAAAATCAGTTTTGTATCTAGTCGGTATTGAAAAGTCAATTTTTAATTTTACGCAAAATGCGATATCCGCCAAGTTATTCTGTCATGTTTTCTCCCTTTTTTTCCAAACCGCGACAAACGGCAGTCTCCATTCTCTGCAGAATGTGATATATCCGCTCAACCAATCACAGTGCACCATTCCACGCACTC